TTTCCTAGCCTGTTGTTCAGCTCTTTCCAATTCCAATTGTTCTTGTTCAGCTCTATCCCGTTCCTCACGCTCGAATTGTTCGCGTTCTTGTTCTTCACGTTCCAATTGTTCGCGTTCCCATTCCTCACACTCTAATTGTTCACGTTCCCGTTCCTCACGCTCTAATTGCTCACGTTCGCGTTTCTCACGATCAGTATTTTCACGTTCCTGTCGCAAGCGTTCTTGCTCTTCGCGTTTTGCTTTCTCACGTTCAGCTTTTTCACGTTCATCACGTTCTCGTCGATATTCTGAAGCAGGTGGCTCTGTTTCTTTTCCCGCATTTAAAAACGCCAAACGTGCATTATTAAGTGGTTTTGGTTTTGGGGGTTGTACAGGTTTATATGCAGAGCGCTTTTATCATCCAATTGATTGATCAATACCATTATACGTAGAAATATATAAACAAGAAAAAAAAAAATTTATGTACATACGACAGGTTCAATTTTTTCTTGAGGTGCACTTCGTTGTAATTCACTTATATTTGGTATCTGAACGGGTTGATATGTGGAGCGCTTTTATCATCCAATTGATTGATCAATACCATTGTACGTAGAAATACATAAATAAGAAAAAAAAAAATTCTGTACATACGACAGGTTCAATTTTTTCTTGAGGTGCACTTTGTTGTAATTCACTTATATTTGGTATCTGAACAGGTTGATATGTGGAGCGCTTTTATCATCCAATTGATTGTCAATACCATTATATGTAGAAATACATAAACAAGAAAAAAAAAATTTATGTACATACGACAGGTTCAATTTTTTCTTGAGGTGCACTTTGTTGTAATTCACTTATATCTGGTACCTGAACAGGTTGATATGATGATTTCTACAACAATGAAAAATGTACACAAACAAAAATATCCATCATATTCCGAGATATATTTATATATATGTAGGTATTTAACAATTATATCATACCACTGGTTCGATTTTCTCTTGAGGAGCGTTTCGCCTCAATTTATTCATATTTGGTATTTTAATAGGTTCGTAAACCGATCTCTATATAACAAAAATACATGTAATAATTGAAGCAAGAAGTATAACTTCGCCTATAAAAAATTAAACCAGATAATAATAAAAGTATAAAGCATACCACAGGCTCGATTTTCTCTCGAGGGGCCTTTCGTTGCAATTCAGTAATATTTGGTATTTTTTCAGGTTGATATACTGATTTCTACATCAAATAAAATAATGCATTAATAATTTTAAATATTTCTCATTCGAATTTGAATGAATTTCAAATGAATTTTGAATGAATTTGAATGAATTTGAATGAATTTGAATGAATTTGAATAAATTTGAAATAAATAATAATATACCACTGGTAAAATAGGTTCTGGCTTTGGTGGGGGAGCATTCTTATTAATATTAATAGAATATTTAGATCCGCCACTTTCTTCGATACGCTTCATTATATATGATGGATCAATATCACTCTAAAAAAAATAAATATCAATAAATAAAAATAAAGGAATAAGCCAAGAATATAAGGCCATACAAATTTAATTACTTGGTTTTCATAACATGAAATCTTAAAAATAGACCCGGCCGGTCGGCTTTTTTTTTTTAAATTTCATATATAAAATTTTATAAAATTTATATAAAAAATTTTTTTAAAACCCACCCGGTTATTAAAACATATAAAAAAATTTTTTTTTAGGAGTTTTCAAATTTGACCCGGCCGGATTATGAAAACCAATTAATTAATTTTGCATGGCCTAATCATGATATTTCTTACCTCAGACCTAGCATTTATTTTGAGATGATACCCCTGTTAAAAAAAAAATAAAAGTAAAATAAATTCAAGATCATAACTACTCATTACTTTAAATACAAAATCACAAACCTTTAAAAATTCAGAAACCTCATTCAAATGTGAATTAAAAAATCCTTTTTTTGCTTCCGGTACACCATCACCACACTTAAATATGCAAAAATAATATAATTATTTGTTTAAATACAAAGAATTGTACAAATTTTGAATAAGCTGCCGGATTAATCCATACCCAACCAATAAGCACAATCTTAGCTAATTCCGTGTTGGGATCCTTTACTTTCACATATGCATATTGAATTTTGCCATCATCAAATTCCTCTTGTAATTCATCAAGTCCTCCATCTATGAATTATGTATATTTTTTTGCTTTAAAAAACGAAAATTTATTAAAACTAGAAAACCGAATTTGAAAATTATGACCATACCTCCGGTATTCAAAACCTTTAGATCATTATTTCCTCCTTTTTCATAACTATAAATTACCCATTTATCTATATCACCATCTCTAACATCTCTATAGGTTGACGAAAGTGCTTGAGAATGTTTGTTGAAATTCACGGAAAGACTCATGTTTGAATTTGAAAATTAAATCGGATGATCTTATATATTATTCGGCTATTGCTTTATTACTCTATTAGGAAAATTTTTCAAATTAAGTGCTGAAGTGATGCGCAACACAACATGTGATTTAACTTACGGTGAGGATCTACAAAATATTTTTCTTTAATTTTTTTCTTTAAAGACTATCGATTATTCTACAAAATAATACCTAATACCATATAGCGCACTATAAGAGTATATCCAAGGAAACCTTATTTACAAAAATTTACTTATTTTTATTTGGTGATATTTATATAGAAACTTGAACTAACCATTAGCCCCAGATACAGCATGTTAAGTATATAAGATCATTTTACTTATCCAGTGCCCACAATATATTCCACAGATGAAGTCCAGGGGTACTATACTTGGTGGATTTCATATGAAAAATTTTATTGGGATATATTCTCCGGATATAATACATTTTAGGCCTCCAACAAACCGCGAGGAGCATTATGGTGGGAGGGTCTTTTAGTCCGCGCTAAGTATGTACCTTTCTATTAAACAAATAGATCCCTGGAAAAAATTATTGTATCATTTATAAAATTAAGACACAAATTGCTTTTGGCAAAGCGGGAGGCATTGTTTCAGAAAGAAATGTAATATTTTCTCGAGCTAACCAATGTCTCGCAGATAACTCAAACAATTGAATAAAGTGAAGGATTCATCATGTACGTACCAAAGATCTTTTTATTTACAATTAAAGAGATTACTTGTACAACAAGAGAATTCATTAGAGTATTTCATATTTATTCCAATAATGTTAAAATTTTGATTGTCAACCTTGACTTTTTCTTAGACTTCAATTAGGGATGGACAATCAAATACCGAAATGCATGAATTTTGTACTGATTATCTTCGTTCATTAATTATATTTTTTACTCAGTCGATTTTCCTTTATTGACGAATTGAAAGAAAATTATGGAATCAATCTTTCATTCTTGGGATGATGAGAGAACAACTAAGAATCAAGACAATGAAATTAAATTTTTTGACAAAGCTATTAATATAAAATATATATATTTTTTTATTTATTCAATTTTATTTGCTTATTTTATACATTTTGAACTTTTTTAGTTATCAATATAAAACTTTTAGACTTTATTTTTTTTTAAAATTTTATTATTCGTTTTCAAAAATAACATCTTACAAGATAATCATTACAACTTTGAACATTATAAACAAATTTTTAAACTAATCTTTAATAAAACTTGTAAAAAAAAAAAAAAAACTTTAAATATACACGAAAAGTTAAAAAAAAAAAAAAACGAAAAATATTTGAGATACTTAGTTTCAGAGATAATTACTCTTACTTGTCCCAACCACCACGTAGAGGTGTATCTCATTGGTTGGGAAGGCGAACCCCAACCCATCTCTCTTCCACCGGTACTAGTCGTGGCTCGTTTCCCGGCTTCCGAGCGGGT